TACCCTTTCAAAGAATTCCAGGTAAACTGTTTATAGTTGTGGGGCCAGATTCACAAAGGTCTTTTAGATTTAGATGTCTTGTAAGCATTGTTCAAATACAAAAGACTATTGGTAGGAAACAATGCTTAGGATGGATCTTCACACTGGGGAGGTTTGTGAATCCTCCGTAAGAAAAAAGATGCCAACTGGTACATTTACCCATTTATTCTTAGCCCACGAAACTTTAACAACGTTCATAAAAATGTATAGAAAAGTTCTAAAATCTTCAACCTGGCATACACAATGTCGTCAGGACAGGGACAAATATTGCAACAAAATATGCCTTCCCTTGTACTTTGCAGGCTGTGTAAGGTTCGCATGGTATTGTGGTAAAATGTACAGCCACCATCTTTTTTCCTATGTGGATTGAGCCCCTGAAAGATTATTACTTTATAGTTTATTGATAAGCTTATTTAGTTATGCCTCAAAGAGCCCATGTGGGTCAACAAGGTTTCAGTTACAGTACAAATTAGAAAGTGTTAGAATTATTTGTAGAGTTATTTTGTATCACTAAGGAAAGTCAATCTCCGGGAGTCAATCAGAGGTGAGAAGTAAACACCCCAAACCCTTACAGTATCTATCTTTGTGAATTTGTATACCACCCGATTGGTCGAGGCACAATTAACTTTTCAAAGTCGAACAAAAGTAATCACGCTATTCAGAATTGCACAGAAGTTAAAAACTGAAATCCTGCGGGTTCCTCCCTCCCCCCCCACCAAAAAAAAACAGACTTGTTTTAGGTGCGTTTGAAAGATAATATTTTTGTTGTGTGAGATTGCGCCATAATAGAACTATAGAGTTGTAGTTTGGGGCTAATTTATATCGTGTGACTCAAGGAACTGGGATGGGTAAAGATGATACAGCCATGGAATAACATTGCTCATTCTGTTGATATTTATGTGTGTTTATGATTCAGCGTTTCAAGCATCACCCGTCAGTGAAACCTACATTTGAAGGAGGCAAACGTATAGCTTATGGTGCAAGGGCACTTAATGAGGGTGGCTTTCAGGTAGGAACAATTTTGCAGGCATCCCTAGCCCCTTTTGATTGGGTCATTTATGTCACCATTGTGGAACGCACTAAAGGTGCCCTTCATCCAGCGGGGTGTAATTATAATCTCCTAGTCGGTTCATTCGGTTCAGGTATTCAAGTATACAGTGCATTAATAGATTTGTTGGTGAAATGGTTGCTGCAAAAATGAGTTGCTCTTCACTACCAAATAGAAACAAAACTGAAGATACACGTTAATACGTGTCTTTTCAAAGACGAAACTGTGTTTTTGTACTTGTAACACAAAATAGCTTCATGACCTACAGAAAATTACTCAGACACGACAAGAATCTAAGCAATCCAGCACTGCTTGTTCCAGTACTTAAATCTAGCTAGCTTGTGAAAAGGCTCCTGATTAAAGGGTTATAGGACGTACAAAACACAGGCGAGCGGAGCTATCGGAGAGGAAAAAGTCCGGTCTGGGGAGGAAAACATGACCTGGGTACGCTCGTCTCGTTTCGCTCGCCGTTTAGCTCGCCATTTCCTCCGCCCCCTCGCCGGGAGCCTGTTCACAGGCTAAAATCTAGCTTCCTGTTTTTTGTTTGATTAGTGTATTCCCAAACTGGCGTTCCCTGGTGGCCTTCTTGCCGGCTGTAGTCCCGGATTCATGAACGTTCCAAAAATCAAGGGGACTCATACTGCAATGAAGTCTGGGATGCTAGCTGCTGAATGCGCGTTTGAAGCCATTACTGACGAGAATTTCTCCTCTGCTACTGAAGGTAAGCGATTTGATGGCTGTTTTTAAGCGATTCCCTTAATTTCACTTAACGAGATTGTTCTTTAGATTCAGAAGGGATCATGGCTCGTACTCATACTCATACTGCGCGTTAATTGAACTCATGTTGCCTTTGGTACATGGCTCGGTGAAAGTAAATACCCAAACAAAACGCGAATAGGGAGCAAAATATCTGCATGGAAATTATCTTTTTTGTGGATTCTGTAAGGAAATCGTGGTTTTTGGTAGACGTGTGTTTGGATTTGAAAGAGGACAACAAGAAACTCGCTTTAAAGTAACTTTGTAAATGTGTTCAGATTGTTCCCCAAAAGTCATAAGTTCAATCCTTCAACTGTTGTGTGCTCCGTGTGATGTTGTCGTACACGACGAAGTGGAATTAAATCAATCTTGATTCTGACTTTGGTTGTGATGGTCAGAATTTTACTGAATTTCATTGTTATCAAAGTTAAGATGTGTTACAGCTTGTAAGAACCTTTGAAAAGGGTGTGGCTCGTAAACTTGAACTCTTCTGTTTTAGGTCTTTTTCTGGAATCCTACGAGTCACGGCTGCGAGAGAGCTGGGTATGGAAAGAGATTCAAAGCGTGCGCAATATAAGGCCCTCATTTCACAGCCCCTTGGGTCTTTATGGCACCATGCTGTACACGGGCATTTTCTACTACATCTTCCGCGGCAAGGAGCCATGGACTTTGAAAAACAGCAAATCTGACGCGGAGCACTTGAAGCCCGCCAAAGAATGTCAGCCGATTGAGTATCCTAAACCCGACGGGGAAGTAAGCTTTGATTTGTTGTCTTCCGTCGCCCTGAGCGGTACAAATCACGAGGGGGATCAACCGGCACATTTGACTCTCCGGGATGACTCCGTACCGGTCAATAGGAACCTCGCGATTTATGACGGCCCCGAGCAGAGGTTTTGCCCCGCGGGGGTGTACGAGTATGTTCCCAAGGAGGATGGCGATGGTATGAGGTTGCAGATCAATGCACAGAACTGTGTTCATTGCAAGACTTGTGACATTAAGGACCCGAGTCAGAATATTAACTGGGTTGTCCCGGAGGGGGGAGGGGGACCGGCTTACAATGGAATGTGATGGTGGACAGATGGAGAGCTGTTTCGCTTCTCTTCGAACATTTTACCGTTGCTTTGGTTTTAGAAAGCTCACATCCTGAAATTATTGCCGGAGTGTTGCAGCTTTCTACAACAAGCGAAAGGAAACTGGCCGAGAAAACAACCAATGGAGCTCGAGATAGCAAATAACGTTTGACTGGGCTCGCGTCGTTCTTAAGTTGCTTGTTTTTAAATAGCGTTTGATTCCCACATCGAAAAGAAACTTTGCGACTATGCCAAACAGAATATCTCTTAAGTTGACGCTTCCTTCTTACACGAAAAATGCCGAGTATGTATTATGGATGAATATCGCTAACGAAGCGCGCGAATCGCGCGAAGGACTCGTCGTGTTTGTTACCGCGTGTCTTCCACCATCTTCTGAGGAAATAAGACATACTAAGAACCGCCTCATGGCATCGCTAAGAAAATGTCTGGGCGTCACTTAGTTTAGAACGAGGTTAGCTTTTAATTGTGGAATTTTTTGAAAGTGTAAGTTTTCGAATTTTCGGGGAAGCGCTAAGAAAAAAATTTTGTCAAAAAGGAAATGGCAAATGTTTTTCCTTAAGTTTTAATTGTGGAATTAAATTAATAACGGTTTTAACCGCTTTCTAATAGACATGTGATGCACTGGTAATGTACACTAAAATATTTTCAGAATAGTTCATGGCTTTTACTAGAAAATTAAATGTTTCTTGTTGAAAGTTCGAAGAAAGACTGCCATCTCAAGCAGGCAACTTATCACTTCCTCTCAGCAGTGCCTTGACTTCCCCGCTATCCTTTTCATTCCTCTCTCTATACCTCTTACTAGCCGAGTTCGAGGGCCGTACTGTAAGTTACGGACCGACTGTTTCCCCTATCGATTTATGGCCCAAGCGCTTCGCGCATAAATCGAAGGGAAAAAACCGAGGATCCATAACTTACAGTACGGACCGAGAAGACGAGGTTAGTAAGATATTTATTATATCTCAACTGTGTGTCTGCTGGGTTCGGGAACGATTTCTCTGATCGCGCGGAATGGCTTCAAATTTCTGACGCTCCTTAAAAGCAAAACGAGTCAATTTGAAATCGTTGTTAAGTGACTCGTAGTCTTAAGCAGGTTTTGATACACAATTTTAGAAGTTAGTCAAAGAAAGTTTTATTCTTTTACTTGCTATAAAAGTTAAGAACACAGCGATAAATCACGGAACATTTTGGCAACTAAAACAGTTTTAAATTTCAGCGGGCAGTACTTAGCTCTTTATATTAACCGAGCAGGAGGTCTGTATGGGAGAATCCTGACCGAGCTCAAGATCCTCCCATACAGACCGACTAAGCTCGGTTAATAAGATGTTTATCATATGGCAAACAAGAAATTAATTCGTTTAATGTACGTGGTTTGTACTAGCTGACATTTTGCTTGCGAACGGCGATGAGCTGAAGTAAAATCTGCCAAAGTTTGCTTGTTCTCTTTACTTGTTTTTTTTCTCATCAGGCTTTTTGGCACTTCCATAAATAAACACTGTTGGAAGAAAAAAAGTCAATATTTTAGCATTTTAGTTTGCAACTTAATACCTTAAAACATTGCCGGTCTAGATGGGAAAATCTAAACCGCTTTCAATCTGATTTTCGCCAATCAAATTCGTGAATTGGGAATTCGTGAATTTGTGAAATATAATAAAGTAGAATACGGCCCGCTAAATTGACCAATCACAGCGCGCGTACTAACTGAGAGATATAATAATGTTATGAATTGTTCATTACATTGTCAGTTAATCGTATTCCAGTCATCTTCATTTTTCACTTCGTCTCTGTTCCATCAGATAAACCTTGTGTGCTCGCCTTCATCACTGCCGTTTCCATCCTGTCCTTTACTTTTCTCGCCATTCTCATTTCCTATCTATCCATTCGTTTCCTCCATATCCTTGGTACCTCATTTCTATTGTTGTGATTTTCTCTCTGTTCTTTCAGTCCCTTTCTGTCCTCATCAGTTCATGGTTCTCATTTCCTCTCTATCCTTTGAGTCCAGTCAAAAGGTTTCCACCAATCCGCAAACCGCAGCACTTTTCTCTTGTGTTCTTCAAAGTTTTCCCGGCGCGGTTTTCTCCATCTATTTGGCTCAAGGTCCAACATTCCGCCGAGAATTTCTTTGCCAAAATAATGTGGAAACAGTTCTTCTTCCTCAATCACGTGAGCAAATCCGCCGTCCAATCCAAACTCGACACTAAAGTAAGGAAGTCCCTTGGGAACTGCAGCTCGCAAGCCTTTCTTTCTGGTATCTATCAGCTTCTTGTTCTGTGCCCATTCAGTTTCGGATTCAAGAATGGCTTTCTGCTCGCAAGAAAAACAAATAGGAATTTTTTTAAAAAAGCCTTGTTTCATTCACTTACGAGTGCCATTACATTTTAAGGGTCACTACGGAATTGTCTTAATACCGCTAAATATCGCTACTTTCGGGATGTTACTCTTAGAATTCAACTTTGTTAATATGTCAAAAAAACCATGCAAGGTGCGTTAATCAATCAAAACATGACCATGTCTTTCGACCATTCAGAGCCAAACCAATATTGACTTGTGCAATGTGCGTCAGTTTTCCCGCGCTTAGCTAGACAGCGTCGTAATTGGTTTACCGAGTGTTTTACATTATTCGACCCACCTTGAAATAAACAGGCGCCATGTCTCCTGTGTCTTTGGGCAGAGGGACACATTCGATAATCATATGATGCTGTTTCCGTAACTGTTTACATGTTTCCAGGAAAACGACGTCCTCCTCCTGTTCAAAACAACAAATGATCTAAATCAACTTTCTCCTTACAATACCAAAACAAAGTCTAACGACCAGCTGATGAGAATAAATAAATTATAAATCGGAAAAAAGTTAGAAAGCAGTTTCAAACTTACCATTTCTTCAAACATCTTGGTGAGACCTTTCTTGTAAATCTGCGTGAAGATATCAAAAGTGTTAAGTGATTCAATAGCGGCAAATTGATTAAATCTCATCTATCGGAGCCTTTCAGTACAGGTGGTATAATTAAATTCAATTTGCAACAAAAATTTCCGTTAGACATTGAACGGAAGACGACAGGGAGAAAGAAAGATTGTTTTGCGTTAAAAATATTCTCAAAAGATCGTTTTAATGTTTTGGGTACGATGTTTTCACCTTCACACTCGTGCATTCATATAAAGAAAAAGCATTCACGCGAGGGGAAAAAGAAAACAGCTGTTAAAATGACAGGGGCAGAAATATAATAAAAACCAGCCGTGTGAAAATGAGTGGGGAAAGGATGTTACGAAATGGAATCTAGAATATCTTGAGACTGTTCACACATGGCGACACACTAAAGGGCCACAGTTAAGATCGAGTTTAATTTATCAAAACACTCGTTTTAGTAGCGTCACTTCACACCAACCTGTATTTCACTGCACACATCCTCGTCCAACATAGTTGAAGCTGAACAGTGCTGCATTGGGATAATGAGGCAGTGTCCATCAGTGAGAGACACGTGAAGTGGCACAGCTAAATACACCTAGAAAAATATACAGCTGGTTTTAGAAAGTATAAGGAAAGAGGGTCGTACAGGGAGGGGGGAGGGGAAACGGAAAAAATAGAGGATCGAGGATATAAAAATTTCGTTTTCCCGACACGAAAATAAGCAAGTAAGACACCCTTTTTAATAACCTGTTCTTACACTAGAAACAGTGTTTGAAGAAAGCAAAATCGCGAGTGGCTAAGTCATGGCTCCATTTTGCAAATCGCATACCTGAGTCACTCTCGATAGACGACTCTAACCATTCGGAGGACTTGCGTCTCAAAATCAGTTCACGTAGAATAGAGTGGTAAAATCACGAATATCGGTTAACTATTCAGGTTCTTCACGGGTCACGCAAAACCTTCAGGTCACGGGTCACGTAGAATAATTTCCTAAATTCACGTTTTACGGAAAATAAAATCAGCTAATCACGCATCACGAGAATACCCCTGTGCGACCCTCAGGAATGGGGGGGGGGGACATCCCTGGGGAACCCACACAGCACTAAATTGGTCAAAGATGGAAATACTACCATAGGAAAAGCACTAAACTAAGCTTCTGTACTTGTGTTCGGTGATGTTCAGTGTTAGAGTTGTCTCTCATCACTGCATGTGTTCCACGTTTAACCTCGGATCTAACGTAAAAATTTGTTCTGTTCTCTGCGGCATCACCTTTTTAATGCAGTTTATTCTTGGTTCTGTACTTGCGGCGAGAGAAATTCGTCTGTTTCTCGGTTTTTCTTCGTTCTTTAAATTTAAGTCGATCTTGGAACAGTGTTTTTAGAAATTGGCCCTGAAATGCTAAACAGTGAGTAATTTAGCCTACCTTGAGACCAATAGCAATAATAAGATGTTTGGCGATGTCTGGGTTCTCGAAACAGAAGCGGCATTTAGACAGTTGAGCAGCCAACATCTTGTGTTCTGCATTAAAAATGGAGCACATACAAATTAATTTTCAGTCCACTGCAAAGGAGTTCATAATGTCCCGAAAAAGCATTTAAAACAGACAGGTCAATTTTTTCTGGTCTGTTTTCTTGAAAACGTTCTAAGAAAAACATGTCTATGGCTCACGTTTTCACTGCAAGATTCACTGCAAGATTTTGAACAATTTAAACTAAATTGTTTTGGTCGCTTGTCCAGTTGGATCAATTACTATTATTGTTTTCTTTCTAATATCATCAAATCGTCGCCGGTAACTTCGTTTGGCATAACAAACCTCGGATTGCCCTCTGCTTTGCTCGTCGTTCCTGATCAGCCGGAGAAATTTTGTTTGCAGCGGATGACACAAAACGATCATCTAACGTGAAGTCATCTGAGTAACCAGTCTTTGCCGCCTTAAAAAACAACAACGAAATAAATAAGAACTAAAGAAATCAAACACTGGACGGGATGAAACGGCTTGACAGTGCGTCAGTCTTGAAATCGTTTTAAGTCTGTTAGAAAATGCTGCAATAATGAGTACAGGCCCGGGTTGATCGAAAGGTGGATAACCGTTATCCAGTGGATAGCGGCGCTATCCACTGGATAAATCACCATCCAGCGGATAGCGTGGTTTGTTTTTTAAACATTTAACCACTGGATAGCAATTTATCCTACGGATAGCGTTTTCTAGCCAGCCTTCGAACAACTGGGGCCTGAATGTTAAAAAATAAGAGATAACAGGTTTTCAACTTTTTCATTTATCTGTTTCAATTTCTCCAAGCTGATCATCTATGTTCATTTGATTTCAAGGTAACACTACCTTAAAACTTTTCTGCCTTCGTGAACAAATTCAAAGTTTCCTAAATTTCAAGGTAAGAGTAATTTCCACATAACTGCGTGCCTGTTTCTATAGTTACCTTTGCCGCAAGCTTGGCCATCATTGCCTCATGGTCATCCACAGTGCTCATTTTCTCTCTTCTCACCATTTCCTTCAGGTCATATCTGTCGTCATCTGCAAAATACCTCTCCCTTGTCCCTTCCTTGCCATGTGTCTCCACCTGGAAATACAACGGCAGTCTCAGGCAATGAAGACACTATAATAATTTCCTTGTGTTTTGTGTTTTGTGTTTTGAGCGAGAAGAAGTGGAGTAATTAATAACCATCTATGACAACAACCTCTTCTTCTCAAAAGGCTAACAACACGGCAACCTAGTAACCAGGCGCTCCCTTTTGCGTACTTCATCTGGCGCGAAATTTCACTTCAAGACGTCATCGAATGACAGCAGGCGACAATCTCGTTCCCAGGGTCCTCTCTCTTCCTCCCTCGAAAGGCCTCGAGAAAGTAATACTTTCTCGAGGGAGGAAGAGAGAGGATTCTGAAAACGAGGTTAAGCACGCGACCCATTGCCAGGCACTTCCGTAAACTTTGCGCTCCGCCGCGTTAGGAAAGGAATGCCTAGCAATAAAGCTGGCACGATAAGTGTTTTTTTCTTTATCTTCAGCGAAAGCGATCGCAAGGTTTGCTGCAATACAGACAGATCGACTTAAACTGGCATGGGTGCAGAACGTTTGTTCATCCTAAACGTGTGTGCAGTGCGTTTGTTTGTATTATCTTATCACCTTTTTTCGTTTTCTTCGTCCTCCTCTCGGTTCCTGTCGCTCGGTCATTTCTAGCGGCCAAACATTTCCACTTGCATCAGACCGTGTTAAAACCACCATCTCCTCGGCGCGTTCAGCTGGGCCACTCCCCTTCATTCCAGCTTCTTGAAGCTCCTTGTTTTTCCTCATTTCTTCCAACTGTGATTTCAACTTGATTGCTAGCTCCTGTAGAATTTTCGATAAACATTCAAATCAGTCTTATTTGTAAAATTTTTAAAGTAGGCAAACCGATATTTAAACAGGATTTTAATTTTTGCGAAATTTTAAGGCAATCAGCACCAAAATTGGAACTGCTCACATCATAATTCACTATAAGTCTCGCTATCTTTGTCATCGTTATTTGTCCAACACTGCTGGAATCACACCATCAGAGTTAAGTTTACGTGTGTTTTTGGCTTTACCAAAATCAAGCTAAAACGTTCACCGTGCCTTTTTCTTGAAGAAAAACGGGAGGATCATGTCCACAAACCGGATAAAAAAGACATGAAAAAGCCTCTGAAATGTACACTCTTTACCTTAAAGGATTAATTTGTAGCAACACTCACCTCATTTCCCATGATTTCTGCCTTAACAATCTTTGCTCCAATGTCATTAAGATCTTTTTCGGTGATTTTCTTTGCAGGAATCACAACCGTTCTCTTCTCTTCTTCTTCTCCCTCTGAACTCAAGCTGCTGTCTGTTTCGGATTGTCGTTTTATTTCCTGGCCTACGCTTTCTTTCCCAGCATCCTGTTCTTCCCGAGGAGATGATCCTTTGTCATTTCCAGTCTCTTTCTTCTTTCTCCACCCGCCAGAGGGCCTGGAGCTTGGTCCATCACTGGAATGTCTTTCGCTGCGCCTGGATTCTTCTTTTGAGTCAAAGTCCCATGTGGATGACGTCACTGTTGAGGATGATGACGGCGGACGCTTGAACTTTCCAGCAAACGAAGACCTAAAAGAAACATACCAAAACCTTAACAAAATTACTAAAATAAAGTACTGTACGTGTACCACAGGGTCTTTGGTAACAATGCAAAGTCAGGAAAGCACTAAGAAAAGATAACTTGATAACTTGATATCAAACAACATCTCCGCTCAAAAAGACTTACACCATGTTGAATTTCTCCTTGGCTACAAAATTAAGGCGTAATTTAAAGCAAGCTTCCCGCGATGTAACCAACGTTTTCAAATGATTAATTAGGTTCATGCGTGGATTTAACAACAAAATTAGTTTGAAACACCTATAAACAAAACCCTTCCTAAACAGGCATTCTGCACTAAGCGGACACCAACCTCGGTCTGTCACAAACCTTTTCTTCCCATCAGTTCGGTAAAATTAAGCGGAAGTTAGCGAGACTGTGGCTGTAGAGGTCTTATAATACTCCAGATTTTCACACACCGAGAGAAAAATCCTCAGTTGATACCTGTTGTCGCTGTCGTCTGGCCGCAAAAATCTTGCAGTGTCAAGTTTAACTGGTTCTCTTCCTTCACCATCTCTCCTTCTCCATTTGTGTTCCTCGGTATCTCTGGCTGACCTGTATGAACTAGCACTAGATTTGTCATGTGACCTTGCTTTGTACCCGTCATATCTGTCTGGGCTTCTTTCTTTATTTCTTCTTTCAACTCTGTCTCGTTTTCTATTATCCTGTCTGTCCCTGTCACCTCGGTATCTTTCTCGGCTTGAGAGCTTTGATTCTTCCTTTCTTTGTTTTGCTTCCCTGAAGAAAATTTAAAAAGTACTGAACATCTCGTTGCCTAAGTGGGATTTTCAGTAAATCTGAAAAATACATTGATATCACTAGACTGAATGCAAAAATGCTAGATAAGTAGATATGACGTGGAAATTTTCTTTGACCAAGCATTTAGTCCCTGCCAGTGTTCATACATTCTTGAAAGACAAAATTTAATTGGAAAGTGCTCAAAATAGCATTTTACAAAAATAGGGAGGACTACCTTTCCTCTGCTTCCCTGATCATCACCTCCAGTCTCTCCACAGACTAAATTTAAAACAGAAGGAACAGGATATTTTAATTCAGAATAAAGTAATTTTCTATTAAGTAAGGTAAAGCCAAGTGGCCCATCAGGCCAGAGCTTATCCTGGTTTCTGTAGCATGAAGTGACTACGAGTATTTCTACTCCCCCTGATAGGGGATGCTAGTCCATCGCAGGGTCACACCTAGCATTAAATCCTTCAGTACCCATTGATACACCTGGGTGGAGAGAGGCACCGTGAGAGTAAAGTGTCTTGCCCAAGGACAAAACACAATGTCCCTGGCCAGAGCTCGAACCCGGACTGTTTGATCCGGAGACAAATGCACTAACCATGAGGCCACCAAGCCTCCTCCTTTCTAGTGAGGGTAACAGCCAAAAATAATTTTCTGTCAGCAAAGAAGGTTTCTGTTTGCTGGTCTAGTACAGTACTTTAAATAAGACATGAAGTGGGTGGCACAAACATATATTTAGAAAACAGTCCTAAGAAAATATGTGCGCTGATTAGTTAAAAATCGTGTATCTATAACTCGATGGAAACACAGAACTAGCATGGGCTGTTGACGTAATGATGGTGCGAGCAAAGAGAATTTACCGTTTGATAATCAAAGTTAATAAGCTGTTTTCATTTTTTTGTTGTTGTGGTGTTTTCTAAAAGAAATAGAAAACATGTTCTCTGTGTTTCTATCAAGTTATAGAAACACTCGTGAAAGTTTGGGAGAACTCGAAAAAACTGTGGAAACACTCGCCTGCGGCTCGTGCTCCCACAGCATTTCTCGTTCTACCAAACTTCCACTCGTGTTTCTATAACTCGATAAAAAAATGGTACATGTTTTCTAGTTTTTAAGTAAAAAACATAAACGAAAGTAACACTATTCTCTGTGCATTAGCTTTGTACCTACTGCCAACTAATAATTAAACTGGATGTGACTAACCCCGTATCTTTTGGCAACAACATCAGCCAAACTCTTTCCTTCTTCTTCAGCTTCCTCTTTGGCTCTTTGATAGGCTCTCTTTAACCAGGCACTACTAAATGAATTTCTGGAACTTTCTACAAGAAAGGGAATAATCATCGATTGCAGTGATGCAATTTGAACTTTTGACAGATGACACACACCCTAGAAAACTGGCACAACATTACAGAGTAATGTCTAGGAACAGAGTAAATTAAAAAGTATTTTTAGTAGCTTGCAGTTGTGTGGACAGAGATCACTTAAAATGTAACCACTTAGTTCAAACCAGTGCTGTTAGGTGATGAAATCAGCTCTGATACCTTCCCTGTGAGTGGCTTCCCGTGATGTCTCTCTCTCTGATGGTAACCCTGTACCTCCCTCTCTCCAGTAAGGGTTCAACTCTTTAGGATGCTGCCCTGGCTGCAAATGCAAACAAACACAACTAAATATAACAAAATGAGCTCTGTATCTGAGGCATCGGGATCTATTCTGCCTTAACTTAACAGCAATAACAGGCTAAATAGTATCTCAGTTCCATTTAGTGTGGAATGATACATCATCAACCACTCAGCTGTCTTCTTGCCCTTTTCAAAAATGTCCTCTGTACATCATCTCATTGGAATGCTCTTAGCTTTCATTTCCATTTGTGATCCCTACTTGATAGTCTACTACAGCATCCAACGAATCATGGCAAAACATTTTTAATCTAGAAAATAACTATGGTCATTTGATTTTGAAATCTATCTGAAAATGACTTCCCTGGGTACCAAAGGTCATTTGATTGAAACTAGATCCAACAAAAGCCTCAGAAGTCCATTTGGCTGACTGTGCAGTCAGCTAAGGGGTGTTTTTAGTCTATCTTGTGTAGAATTATACATTATCACAGTGTAGCCCAGCTGCATGTGTGTCCTGTACAAAACTGTCCTCTGGCAGTCTGCAGTGAGTCTGCACATCGACATCTCATTGAATACTACGGTGAGAAGTGAAAGAAGCACATTTCTAATCTAATTAGTTTCTTTAAATCATTTGTTACTATTGATAGACTGGTCTGCCTAGACCAGCATACATGTAGCCATTCGCAGGCCAGTCCTGTAAAATGTAGATTTTATTAAGAAATAAAACAATGATGATGATGATGATGGTTAAACACAACTTGCCAAGAATATGTTCCTCAGTACTGTAGTAGTGATTGGAAACAAGGAATGACAAATTATTCAAACTTCTTACCCGATCCATACATGACAATGCTTTCATGTTATCATCATCTTCTTCCTCTTTTGTCTCCTCCTGCTTTTGATCTTCTTCTACAGTTATTGGTTCCCAAGAGTGTTCTGTGATTGGTGGGCAAAGCATCCAGCTTTCGCGCTGCTGCTGTGAACAATAGTTTGGTATTAAAGCTTGTCATGAACTGGGGCCAGTTATAATCTGACTAAGGCTTCTTTTATGTTATGTGCAATGTCTGCCATCATGATCTGGAAATACTGTTCAAGTGTAAAAGAGAATGACAACTATTTCTACTAGCCAATTGGAGGAAAAAAAAACCCTGTCACCTGCATGATACCTTAAACTGATTACATTACAGTGAAACCCCGCTCTATGGACACCTGCTTAATACGGACACCTGCTTCTAATGGACAGTTTTCTTTGTCCCGACAACTAAAAAGTTCATACATTTTCTCTTAAATTAGCCCGCTTAATATGGACACCCAGATAATGCGGACACTTTATCATGTCCCTTTGGTGTCCA